ATTTGGGATAGAGACATCTATTATATGGGTTATTTTATTTACTTTATCAATTAATGTGATATCTGGTCTATTGTTATGAATCGTTTTGTCAGTTAATATAGCTCTATCGTAATACATCTTGTAGCTAGCATTCTCCATCACAGGTGCAGGCGTGTACTGATAATATGGGAGTGGTTTCTTTGCTGTCAATTTATGCTTAAGGGCTAATTTTTGGTGAATTATATTGCAAACTTGATTATGGCGGTGCGTGTAATCGGTTTGAGTCAATGATGTGCAGGCACTGGTTATATGCTGTATAGTCTCTGGTTGGCGAAGGCATTTTCTGCATTTATCGGTTTGTAGATTAGGGTCTTTGAGTATGTATTTTTTAATTTCTAGTATTAATAACTTGGTCCTGAATAGCTATTGTAAATCCTTCAGTTTCGGGGAAAAGTGATCCCAGTTTAAGCCATTTATTTGAAGCCTCTAAATCTACGTATGGTTGCTGAAGGTCGTGTATATGTCTTCCATGTAGTTCCTTTTTCCTCCAAGCTTCTATTTTATTTTTTTGCAAGTCTGTTTTAGTGGTAATTTCTATTAATCTATCTTTTAAGTTCAGTGGAGTAAAATTGTCATCAATTTCTGTTACTGCTGAGTGTATTCTACTTGTTTTAGCTTTTTCAAAAAAGAATGCTCGCAAATTATTGATTTGTCCTTGCCATAAACTATTTAAATCTATAAGACCTCTACCTCCTTTATCTCTTTGGATGCTCATTCGTTCTATTGCTGATTTGGGGTGTCCGTAATTATGTTTTGTCAGTATGGTTCTAGTTTTCATTTCTATTCTATTAATGTCTGTTTTTGACCACTTAATTATCCCTAATGAGTAAGTTAATATTGGAATAGCATAAGTGTTGATAGCTTTGAAGAGATTTCTGGAGTTTAATTGTTTTTTGCAAATTCGGGTTAGGCGTTGAAAATATATATGTCGTAAATTTGTTTTTATTTCCGTATGTGTAATTCCTTTAGCTTGTTGAATCCCTAGGTATTTGTAAGTGTCACCTTCTTCCATCACATCAAACTGAATACTTCCTCCCGAGATATTGCGACTGCTTGATAATTTTCCTCTTTTTAAATATAATTCCTTACACTTATCCAAACCAAAATTCATACAAATGTCTTTACTAAATGAAGCTGTTATATCGATTAATTTATTCAATTCTTTTTCCGATTTAGAGAAAATTTTAATATCATCAACGTACATCAAATGTGTAACTATAGTATTCGTCGTAAGTTTATAACCAGCATTAGAACTATTGAGCAGACTTGATAGCGGATTAAGGGCTAGACAGAACCATAAAGGACTCAATGAGTCGCCCTGGAAAATGCCATTTTCAATATTTATTTCGTCTGTATTTAATTTTAATTTATTATTTCTTAAATGCAAAGTTGTTTTCCAATTAGTCATGGTATTTTCCAGAAATTTTATAATAACAGGATCAATTTTAAAGATATGTAATATTCGAATAAGCCAAGAATGAGGTACGCTGTCAAAAGCTTTTTTGTAATCAATATAAGCTAAATATAAATTTCTATTACGTGAAGTTGCCTGCTTCAAAATTGTGCTATCTATTATCAGTTGCTCCTTGCATCCCCTATGATTCTGTCTGCATCCCTTTTGTTCCTCGGACAGTATATTGTTTTTTAATATATGATTATTAATTTTCATTGCTATGCATGCAGTTATCAGTTTGTAGATGGTAGGCAAGCATGTTATTGGCCTGTACTGTGACGGATCTGCGGTAGCATTGCTTTTTGGAATCATATACGTCACTCCTTTTGTAACAAAGTCTGGTAAAACTGCAGTAGACTTTATGACGTCCGTAAGGATAGTCGAAAGTATATTATGTAATGCATAAAGTTTTTTATACCAGAAAATATGTATGCCATCAACTCCACTCGCTTTCCAGTTTTTCATCTTTCTCATAACTTGTTCTAAATCAGTGATTGTTACTTCTGCAAAATCCATTTGATTTAGGTGTTCCCATTTTTTTTCTTCTTCTTTTATCCAGACAGCATCATTGTTATGATCCTCTCGTTTTTTTCCAGGTATCAGTCCAGTAGTCTTTAAGTATTTCACAAGTGGGCAATTCTGTATGTTCGTTGCTTGCATTACTGTCGGTTAAGGTCCTATAAAAATCTTTTTCATTATTTAAGAATAATTTGTTGTCATTTTTGCGTTTCAGTGCTTTAATATATCGCGCTAATCGTTGAGATTTCAGTGCCAATTTTTGCTTAAGAGTATCCAAAAACTCTTCCGGTCTAATATTATCTTTCTCATGTACTGAATGGATTTTTGTATTTTTAAATATTAACTCTACTTTTTTGTCTAGTTTTCTTGATCTATTATTATTTATGTATCGTTGTAATCTCCCTATATCGGCTCTAAGTTTTTTAATATCATTTTCAATTCTAATCTGCCATTCCGGTTTTTCATTTTTCTTTATGTTGTGTCTATTTACATTTTCTTCATTTTGTTTTTTTATTTTATAACCCAGTTGACGACACATCACTAACGCACTGCAATATATAAGTGTATTTATTTGATTTATATCAGAGTCAATAGAATAAAAATGTCCTAAAATTTCTTTGTTAAATATATTAATTAATTTATAAAGTCTTTTATTTTCTTTTAGCCGAGGTAGTTTTGGTCTTGAAGTGGGATCTGTTCCTCTATATTCAGTCAGTGCTATTTCTAATTCTTCTATGAGTTTTTGAGTACATTGTGGAGAAAGATCAGTTTCGTTATGTGTAATGTCTGTTTGATTATTAATATCTTGGGAAGAATATGTTGTTTGTGTTGCAACGTCTATGGGCATATCAATATTTTGTGTAAGAGTTGTTGGAAATTTAAGAATGTTTGACGGGATAGATGGTGTTACCGGAAGATTAACTATATTATGTGTTCTTATCTCTAAATTGTCTTCTGTAGTTATTGGCAAATTACTTTCTGACTCTAAACTATTCTCTTCATTCTTTTCTTGATTCAGCTGTATCATGACTTCACGTTTTATATTTTCAAGAACTGTTGTTGTTAGAAGCTTATTTCGTATAATAACTCTTCTTTGATCTGCTATTCTTTGAGAATTTACTTTTAAATGGGAGTATTTTTGTATAAATATATTAAAAAGTTTAGTTGGGTACATTGTTTTGTCTGTTTCTAATTTGGTTACGTAGTAGTAAGTGCGCATTATAAATATATTAATCTCATCATTCCATTTCATGCGCAACCTTGGTTTACCAGCTTTAGTGGTCACAGGTTGTACGGCGACTGCCTCCTGTGAAACATCTTTAGCTGGCGTTCCTACTCCTCCTCTGCTACTCCCCCTACTGGCTGTAACTTCTGAGGACCTTTCCCCATCCCCCCTGTCCTCAACTCCCGCCCAGCCGTTGTTGCGAGAGTCACTGGCTAGCATACTGTCACGCCCGTGGCCAGCTACAGACGTGCCCCGGCGATCACCCCCTGGTAGCGACCCTATACGATATTTCTTATTACGTGTCTCCATATTAATGGGTTACCTGAACCTTGTTAGCCGTGTAAGTTTTTTTTGTACACGTTACCGCCCCCCACGTAGCAAGATGTTCAGCTAGGACGTAAGGTAGGATTTTGGGGGGCTTATTATTATTATTATTATTATTTATTATATCAGAATTTAATCAGTTTGCCTTTTAGTTAAAAAGTAATTGTTCAGATTCACTCTAGACTGAGTGTTGACCCCTACATTACTCCTTATCACTTCGTAAATATGGCGAAACTACCTTGTGCTGACAAACTGACCATGTATTGAATTTTTCCATGACTGATATTTAATTAATTTGCTTGGACCTTCAAGCATATGCAACTGATATTTTTGCAGGGCTGAAATTTTAAAAATATTTCTCTTATCTCTTTCATTTCAAGTTACCTAATATACAAACATGTTAGTATTGCGTAGAGCTTAAATAAGTCTAAGCATTTTAGGGCCAAATTCTTTTAGATTATTATAATACGAAAACTTCAAAAGTACTATACAACTTATATTTTTGGTTTACATTTCGCATATAATAACTACATTAATCGTACGAGTATAATATGTCATTCAATGAAGTTGTTTAAGCACCCTCCTTCCGATGCCAAGTGGCTTGAGTGAAAAAATCATCACAATAGAAATAGTCTGAAGTTATAATTCATGTTATATTTATTACAATATAGCAGATATCGTCAAAGAAGATATTTTACAATTTATTTTCGATGAAAATAAACGAATTTATTGAACGCTTTTGGAAGGAATTTTGTCATGTAATAAGCGGGTAGCTGTCAACGGCGAAATTAAATTCTTGTGTGGCTTAATAAAAAAGTAAACCTTTAGAACGCTCCGCCCAAAATGTAACGAATAATCTGAAAAACAATATACAAAGCATTATATTCAGAATATTGAACACCAAAAATATTATACCTGTATATTAAAATTATATAGGGTACTAGCATTACCCGCGGCTCCGTCCGCGTTCAGATGACCAAAAACCAAATTCTTAGGTTTTACATATTATTATAATCTTAGATCGCAGTTTTTGTATTTTTTCTCGAAAATGAGACATTTTCCCGCGATAAAAAGTATCCTATATGTTGACCCGGATAATCAGCTATGACCATACCAAATTTCATCAAAATCCCTCCAGTAGTTTTTCTGTGATGCGGTAACAGACAGACAGAAATTCTAAAAACTATAGATTCGGTCTCTGTATCGATAATAATGTCTATTTCAATATGATTTTCCAAAAAATATTTAATGTACAGATTCGGCTTAGTTACAATTTTATTTTATGTATTTTTTAGATAGTATATTTTAATTGAAAGATTGGCTTTTTACTAGAAAAAAGGTTTTTGTACGTCATTTTTGAATAGTGAATCATATGAAAATATCATCAATGTCATTTTAAAAAGATTAAGTGCGAAAAGTAAATAATTTAATTTACAAAGAATGTTAGCTAGAAATGTGTGTGCAATTAGTCTTAGACGATGTTTCCGTACGTTTAATTACTTACGTGAGAGCGCTGCTGATGAAATGCCAGTTAATAATCCTTTTCAACTCAAGCCAATACAATATGAAAGCCATACTCTACGCAAACATGATAATGCTAAACGACAGAGGTTGTACGAATTTGGTATCTACGTCGCAGCTTGTATGCCCAAATATGTCCAAAAGATTCAAATGCAACATACAGACGAGCTGGAAATATTAATTGCCCCTGAAGGATTTCATCCGGTTTTGACGTTCATGGCTTATCACCAGCATGCTTGCTTCAATCAATGCTCTTTTGCTACTGCCATAGATGTACCTAGTAGGGTATTCAGGTTTGAAGTCGTATACAATCTGCTTAGCTTACGGTACAGTGAGCGAGTGAGAGTAAAAACTTACACAGACGAGCTCACTCCTTTACATTCAGCTGTGAGCTTATGGGGAAATTGTAATTGGTTAGAAAGAGAAATATACGATATGTTTGGAATAATTTTTACTAATCATCCTGATTTAAGAAGAATTCTTACTGATTACGGTTTTCAAGGACATCCTCTCCGAAAAGATTTTCCCCTCACAGGCTATATTGAAGTTCGATATGATGATGAACTAAAAAAAATAGTATACGAACCTGTTGAATTTGCTCAAGAAATGCGAAGCTATCAACTAGAATCCCCATGGAATTATTTAAAAAACTTCCATGGAGGTTTTAATTGTCCTGAAACTGAAAAGAAATGATCATAGAAAAATGCTGTTTTTTTACAATGAGCTAAAAAATAAATAATTGTAAAGTAAATAAACAACATACTTAATTTTTCCTTCTACTTCGAATTAATAAAAGAATATCAATACATATATATACCTTCATTCTGCATACATAGTAAGTAACATCTGCTTTTAGTCATATATAGACGACTGTTGCGCAGTGCGGTAAAATATGTTAATACTAAATGAATGATTGACTGCGACGAATATATATATCTCTTGCAAGATTTATATACGAATAGATCGTGCGCTCGTGCTGGATACATGATAACATGGACATTGCTACTGCAATTTATTGATCGTAAAGCTCCTTAAAAACCTACTGAACAATGAAAATATTCATATTAGCAATTAAAAGCTAAATATATAATAAATTTGCTAGCCTATTTTTCCTTTGTAATGTATTTAATTATTTCTACTAATAATATTGTGCTTACTAAGTTGATAATATATTATACTGATTCATCTTCACAGTATCCCTTGTGGCGTATATAGAAAGATGATAGTGACTCGCCATAACTTTCTTGGCTTCAAAAATATTACTAGCTATATACATATACTAGCGGACCCGACAGACGTTGTCCTGTCTACACGTCTTTAATTTGAAAATTTCAAATTTTTTTAATAATTTTTTTGATGAAAATCATTATTCAAATTGTGAATCTAAACCATTCCCAGATCCCCTTGAACACACACAAAAAATTTCATCAAAATCGGTCCAGTCGTTTGAGAGAAGTTCAGTGACATACACACTCACAGAAGAATTATATATATAAAGATAATATATATTATGTTTATTGGTAGTAAACTAGTAAAAATGAGCGACTTCATGAAGTAGCTTGTACGTATTATATTACTTTCTAGAAAATGAACCTTAGAAATAATATTTCGTATAGGGAATAAAATATAAGTTAACCAACAGTTTAATTTAAACTTAAAACTGTTAAAATCTTACTAATATTATATATGTGAAAGCTTAGATATTTGGATGTTCGGATGGATGTTTGTTAATCATGTCACAATGGCTAAACGTATCTGGATGAAATTTAGCACAGAGATAGATTATAGTCTAGAAGTGGAATCGTTTTATCCCGTAAAAATGTACGGTTCCCATGGGATAGATGTGTTTTTGTTTTCTAGGCGCTATCTTATTATATTTTACCGTTATATTTAAAACAATATTAGAAATATAAAATATAACATCATGGTAATATTTTGATCCATTTTTATTGTATTTTCATAACACTTATTAAAAAAAACTGTTTTAATATCTATCTATACTTATTATAAAAATAAGTCCCCCGGCCGCGTCTTTCTGTCCTCCTGTCTGTCCTCCTGTCTGTCTGTACGCGAAATAAGTCCCCCGGCCGCGTCTTTCTGTCCTCCTGTCTGTCCTCCTGTCTGTCTGTACGCGATAAACTCGAAAACTACTGAACGGATTTTTATACGGTTTTCAACAATAGAAAGAGTAATTCTTGAGGAAGGTTTAGGTATATAATTTATTATGCTTTTATGTAAATTAGCTGAAATACGGCGACAAATGTTGAAGAGGTCGCAAAAAATCTCGCCAAATGGGAACTTTCCACGCGAACGCCGCGTAAACTAGCAAAGATACAGTTAAGTAATGTACTAGAGAATTCAAAATCTATAAAAATGCTACAAAAAAGTCCGCGATAGCATATCTCTATCTCTTACGGTTGACTTACAATAACCACTTTTATGTTAACATTTTTAATTAAAAACATTACGTTATTTTCAAAGTTATTTTCTTTAGTTCGGTATTAATCCTTATCCAAATGAATATTTTAGTTAGCTTAGTCATTTAATGCAGATTAAAATTGCTCTTTACACTAAATCAATCAGATGAATAGTTTTTGAGATATCGTTGTTAGAAGTAATTAGTAGCGAAACATTTTTAATGCTTGGCGAGCATTGAGATGCCTACGGCGAGTCCATCCCCTCTGCCCCGCATCGCTCGACCGCCTGCTCAAGCTATATAAACCGGGCGATGTAGCGCGCGATCCTAGGATACTTTTTACCGCGGGAAAATATCTTATTTCTGAGGAAAAATACAAAAACTGCAATGTAAGAGTATACTAATATGTAACACCTAAGAATTTAGTTTTTGGTCATCTGAACGCGGGCGGAGCCGCGGGCAATGCTAGTAAATATTAAATAGCTTTATACGCCTTCATTATCTATTCCATTTAATTCGTGTGTAGGTACTTATTATATGTTGAATAAATAATAAATTACAAATTATACGGTAAAGCTCACGTAATATCCTACGTTAATATTGTCGAATAACATTCTCGAATATGCGCAAAATTTACCAAACTTTGCAATGAAACGAATGCTTTAGAAACGCAAACTTTGAAAGGTATTTTAATTTTTATAATATTGATACAAATCTATACATACTCGTATAATAAAATTGTAACTAGGCCGAATCTGTACATTAAATATTTTTTGGAAAATCTTATTGAAATAGACATTATTATCGATACAGAGTCCGAATCTATAGTTTGTAGAATTTTTGTCTGTCTGTCTGTCTGTCTGTTACCGCATCACGAGAAAACCACTGGACAGATTTTGATGAAATTTGGTATGATGATAGCTGGTTATTCGGGTCAATATATAAGATAATTTTTACCACGGGAAAATATCTCATTTCAGAGAAAAATACAAATACTGCATTGTAAGAGTATACTAATATGTAAAACCTAAGAATTTGGTTTTTAGTCTTATCAACGCGGGCGGAGCCGCGGGCAATGCTAGTTACAATTTATAATATTCTATCAGAAAAAGTATTTCTTCTTTTACCTCAAGTAACATAAATGCGAAGCCAGTCATTTCTCTTTGTCGCACAGTAAATAGCTCTAGGGAATGTTACAAATCTTAGAAAGTCACAAAGACCTTTTTGTCTATTTTTCCGCTATACTAAAATTAATATGTTTTATAATAAAAATTAGTCCACAAACTATTTGTATTCCGAAATGGTCATCTTTATAGCAAAACTTATAGTAAAAATGATTTTAAAAAAACGTGTATTTTTTCATTGAAATATTTTGATTCTATCTATGCTTATGTAACTCGTTATTTAATTGCACTGCATTGCACCAACTTTTACACAGTTCAACTGATCGCCATCAAAATTGTTATACGCGTTAATCGTTATCCATTTACTAGAGTGATGCTGCAGACTTATCTTTCAACAATACTTTAGAACTGACTAAAAATAAAATTATGAATGCCTTTTAGTTTTCTCTTTCATCCCTAGAGGCTAACAGCCAGCTAACTGTGTCCAAAAATTTCATCCAATCCGCCTAGCTGTTTCAGCGTGAATGGGTAACAAACATACATATGTACAACACGTTCTAAGTTTCGCATTTATTATTAACTAGCGGCTCACCCTCGCTTCGCTCTGGTTGGCCTCTAGCAAAAAAACAAACCTATCCCACAAGAACCATATTTTTTTCCGGGATAAAAAGTATCTTGTATGTTATTCCAGACTATAATCTATCTCTGTGCCAAATTTCAATCAGATCCGTTCATCTGTTCTGGCGTGAAAGAGTAACAAACATCCATTAACAAACTTTCACATTTATAACATTAATATAATAATAATAATATAATACATATAATAGTCCGATATCAATAAATACAGTATATTCTAAAAACTTTACAAATAGAACTTCCACTACCGATTGTTGCAAATACAAAACATATTTTGTTATGAGGCAAACAAATGTACGTCGTTATCCGCTCTATCTTTTCCTAAATTCCCAGTAGAATGTGCTCATCTATGATATCCAACACTAGCTTTAAAGGTAAAAGCCATTACAAAGCCCGTATGCCACATAATAAACGAGATAAAGCAATTTCGCCAGAGCACAATTGGTTACTTCTGTAGGAAAACAAAATGCTAGAATTTTATGAAAAGTTGAAATTCATATCTATACCTAAATATAATAAAATTCTAACTGAGTAGAATCTATACATTAAATATTTTTTGGAAAATCTTATTGAAACAGACATTATAATTGATACAGAGGCGGAATCTGTAGTTTTTAGAATTTTTGTCTGTCTGTCTTTCTGTCTGTTACGCCTCACAGAAAAACCACTGGAGGGATTTTGACGAAATTTGGTATGGTGATAGCTGGTTATCCGGGTCAACATATAGGATACTTTTTACCGCAGAAAAATATCTTATTTTTGAGAAAAAATACAAAAACTTCAATGTAAGAGTATAGACTAATATGTAAAACCTAAGAATTTGGTTTTTGGTCATCCGAACGTGGGCGGAGCCGCGGGCAATGCTAGTCTATAAATAATTTCTTTTTACATTTCCATATACTTTGCTGTGCTTAATATACTTGTAGCTATAGATGTTTTTATATTTGATAAACTGAATATGAAAATTTTAATATCCTGTCGTAAAACATTATTATTACTTTAAGCCTTACAATTTTTTACGTCCTTTTACCTAGTTATGTAGGTGCTTCGCTGTAACATCTGTTCCGACAATCATTTACTACTCGAGTCGCAGCAACATAAAATTTTTCCTCGATAAGAAACGACGTCTAATGGCTGCTTGGTAATTAAATGGAGAGCGATCTAGAACATTTATTGCCGATGGCGAGGTGAAAATTGAGGTAACTGAATTTACTAAACTCGAAATAAATATCCGCTTCGTATTATGTGTATGAATTTAACAGGTTTATAGCTATTATTGGCTATTTACATTTTCGTTCAATATTGTCAGTAGAATATAGGCCATTGTTGTGTAAATGTTATCAATGTAATCAAATTACGTTATTGTTAGCTCTCAGTCATTGGAGAGCAAACAGCACACACAGCCGTAGCTTTCACGTTGTGGAAAATATACTAACTATGTTAAATTGTCTACAGTGTATTTCATACAAACGGTATAATGATGTTTTATTTTGAACAAACAACGAGATAACAAG